TCTGAAATGTCAATCACTACTCTCGCGCACGGTTGAGGCTCCATCTCTTCACCTTTTCCGAACAGGCATTCCAGCGAATCGAAAGTTGATTCACCATGTTCCATGTAGGCCATTCCGAGCTTCTCATTCTAGAAAAATCAATTTATGCCAAGGTAAATAAGAATATGAAACTACAAATCACTAAGGCATATAGAAATACCAAAATAGGTCAATCACACTTACTCGGATAATGTGTTCCCACGTAAAGTCACTAGCATAGACCTTATTATTCCCAGGATTGTAGGTTACACCACTTTGTTGAAGTATCCACTTGAAAACTTGATAGCGTCTATGAAGCTTGTGAATTTTATCTTGACAAAATTTTAAATCGAAGGTCTTACCAAATTTTTCGTTGATCACACCCATGGCACAGAGGATGGCGTGATGATTAGGCTTCCCCAGTTTGAAGTTTCCTTCAACAACTTGTGCTACGAGTTCCTTCACAAAAAATTTCACAACATCCTTTGTCCACTCACCCTTAAAAAAAACCCGCTCCTGCGAGATTGAAGAGTTGCAGGTACGTTTGGGAGCCATTTCAAAATGAATATGTGTTCTATATTTGTTAAGCAGATATTATAGAAATATTGTGTCTCTTTGATGTGCTTGAGCTCATATGTCCATACCCTATTTATAAGCAGAGGAGTGCAACTTTAATCATTTATGACTTCGCAGGCATGCTTCAGTAATTTCATCACATGATTTTTCCAGCTGGATATATTCATTATTTTAATAATGTGATAAAGTTAATATTCACTTGATGTCTGTGTTAGGACAACTCAATGGCTGATTAAGTGATATAATGTCAGGGGAATAAGAATATATTCCTTTTCCTTTATTGCCAGTGAACTTTCACATCTATAGCTAGGGGTGTGAAGTGTTGTTATCAGTGTTGAGTTGCTGCATCTTGTGTTTAACAGGTGATTCCTTTCGAAATGGGAAGCGCGGAGGATCAACCTCTTCCAGATTTAGCGTCGGTCCTCTTAGCAGAGCGAGTCGTGTACTTGGGAATGCCTCTCTCTCCATCTGTCCATGAATTGTTGACAGCACAATTTCTTTACCTTCAGCATGAAAATATCAAAAAACCAATTTACCTATACATAAATTCGACTGAGACGACCAAGGTTAGAGCTCGTATAATCTTTTGTATTGTCATCCTGTAACAGGTCGCCAAACAGTGGACTACTGGATCTCACCTAGCAAGAGATCGAAAATGCTTTGTTTAATTAACATTCATTTAGGACTCATAACATTATATTTCAGTCAGCAGTATTGTTTAATCTTACCTGATCATTAATTTGTGGGATTTTAGCAAATGAGATAGGTTAAGAGAGGGAAGAAAGAATCCGTATTAAAAATGATTACCCTCATGATATGCTGAAAGTATGATGTGAAAGGTTCAATATCATAAATTCTGATGCTTTCAAATTAAATGCGCATATATCTCCTCTGGATTACATAGCATTATTGTGTGCAAGGCCTATACAAATTGACTGAACCCATGAAGCCAGTAGACTTTACATGGAGTTGACAGAAACAATTTTAAAACATTAATCATTTGGTTTGACGATGTTTATTAATCCCTAATGGCACCAATAATGTGCAAAAAATAACCAGAAAAACATCACAACTTTCAAACTTAGTTCATTGCATTCATGAAATGAACAATACACCATAACATTACATTGTTTTAAGAGATACCAATACACCATTGCATTACATTGTCCACAAAATAAAAAAGAAACTTCCATTGCATTCACAAAAGAGATACATCTATTTCATTCCCAAAATGACCAAATACAACATTGCACACCCCTTATACCTCAGTCATAACTCAAGCATACCCAAAATGACCAAGTACATCTATTTTAACTAGTTTCAGTCAAAACTCAAGCACACCCATTACACTTCAAGAAGCATAGAACAATCAAACCAATAATTGCAAACAAAATGAGCGTCTCCCATTCTTTCCTTCTAGCAATATCTTCTTCTAACTTTTTGGCCCGTTTCAGAAGCCCGGGAATGAGTTGTTGTGCTCTGTAACATATTGGAGGGTCAACCCAAACATGGTATGTGCACCCATCCAACATCTGGAATTCGAAAAAATAAAAAATAAAAAAAGACTGTTGATAATGTCGAAAAAAGATCCCCAATTAAACTTGCAAACTGAAATCAATAGAATATAAATAGAAACCCTAGACGCTCATCCGGTACTTTTCGCCTGATGAGTACCTCCACCCCGCATTACCATCAGCCCATGACGTCTTTCGCACAGTAGGCTTCCCACAATGACAGAAGTCATCGATTAGCTCCTCCGAAATTTGTCGGAACATTTATTTGAATCAAAACTTTGAAACCCTACAACAAAAGAGAGGAAAAAATGAGAATTTAGAGAAAATTGCTCTCGCAAATGACCGGGAGTGGAGTATTTATATGGGGCTCAAAAAGAAGACATGAACATTACACCTATGAATACAAAAGGAACAACAACCTAAAGACGATAAAGGTGAACACACTGCAAGTTTAAAGGTGCTAAAATGCCAACACCACATATATTCTACCATTGATTGCTACGCATTTATCGGTTTACAGACTAGGGCAATGGATACATGATTCATGAACTAAAAAATCTAGAAACCGCAATAGCGTGAATCTAGCAGGTGAACATGATAGACACGGCTAATGAGTTCCACAAATAATGGGGCAACAGAGATACCTAATATTCCAATAGGAGCACCAATAGAAGACTTCTATCTACTCCAACAACTTACAGTTCTTCATATCCACGCAGAGCCTTTCAGTATGTACAAAATCCAATAAAAACAAAGTTAATAAGAGCACCAATGTAAGACTTCTAGCTACTCCAACAACAGTTCTTCATATCTACAAAATGCAGAGCCTTTCAATATGTGCAAAATCCAATAAAAACAAAGTTAATAAGCAATTTCAGTTTTATTCGAAATTGGATTTTTCATGGATAAGAAATACTTCCCCTTCGCCATTTCGGCCCTCTATATCGTTGAAACTACTTGTCTCTTGTAATGAAAAAAGAATCAACACACCCGCAACAAGAAATGAAAGCAACCAATTCTATACGACAAATATGCTCAATTCGCATATCGATATTCTATAGATTTTTTGATATGGACTTACTTTCGGAAAATAGACTCACCGGAAAAGAGACAACAAGACTTCACTGGTACGCTTCCCCTTGGCCGATTAAAATTCCTTTCAGTGGACACGCAATTGTTGGGTCAGTTGCAAGAATCGATTTGCCCTTCTTGCAGTAGGCGATGACCTAGAACGACGGCGAATTCATTTTTCTCGTACGTCCTTTGGTTTTTTGTTCTTTGTACACGAGGCATAATTGGGAGTTCAAGAACAAAATTTTGAAAAGCCCAATTGAAAATAATGAAGTTTAGGCAACCAAACAAATGAAAAGTTGTAATCCTTTGACTCAGATATGAAAACAAACATGATATTACCTGGGGCCCACTAATGTGGATTATATCAAGCCCAATCCAAAAAAGCTACCAAACCCACCCTTACGGATAAATAGGGTCACAAACACTTGGGGTGATTGTTTATGGATTCAACTAGTTTTTATTTAGTTTGTTTTTTAACTATAGTTAATTTTGAAAAAAAATAGTATGGTTAGTTGTTAGTGAATATATTAAATAATATTTTAATAAAATAATTAAAGTTGATTTGATGTGAAGTAGGAAAAAAATGATTAGAAGAGATGGTTAGTTAAATTTTATGAGTGGATGAATAGTGATTTAAAGTTGATGTGATGTGTATGAATGATTAGTTGGTATTATTTAATTATATTGATAATATGAAAGATAGTGAGGTTGTGTTAAAGTTGAGTTAAATTTGAGTTTTGATTGATTTTTTAATGTACAAAGCATAAACAATCGCCCCCTTTGTAATTCACTTTTTCCATTTATCAGAAATCAAATCGTCTCTTCATTTCTTTTCTCTCCACATTCTCTCTTTTTCCTTCAAATCTCATGCTAATCAGAGTTCCTTCCTTCCTCTTACAGCATTTTTCATTCTCATTTATTCTTTTCGTGGGTTGGTCTTCTTGCGTTCAGTCACCCTAGCGGTCACCTGAAGCATTCGAGGAAGCTATTTTTGAGAGGTTGAGAAATTTTAACGCTATAATAAATTTTATTTTTTTGATGAATTTGAGTACAAATTAAAAAGGAAGATAAAAAATAATGCTTAGGTTTTGAAACCCTTGTTTTTATCTTTTATACTCTTTATCTCGACGAATTGGTTGGAGCTATTCAGGAAAAAAAGTTCCCTTTTGGGTGTGGGATAAGCTAATTGTCCACCTACATGAGTTGTCAAAATGCTGGGAACAGTTTTTTCTTATACAGTTTTTTCTTATGTTAGGTTGAGTGCTATTACTACAGTATGCCTAAGCTTGTTGAACCTGCTTGCATCTTTGGGATTTCTTGTTCCCTTTTCTTTTTGTTTATTATATGCTTATTTGATTGTACCCATTTTATGCCCTGTTCCTTTTATGAAATAGAAAATAATTTCTGGGCAGGGACCAAGCAAAATTGCATAAGACTATAAAACATAGTTCAACGGAAGATATTATTGATTAGAACTCCTGCTTATGTTATCTGTGCATGTAAACTGAATGTGTTTCTAAAGATTTCCGTGGAGAGAGAGATATGGTATATTGTTCTATTTGAACATAGATTATATGCAGAGATTCAAGACGTCACATTAAGTGAAATGGAATGAACATGGAAGTTTAAACTCTTCTAATTTTAGGACACCACATGGTGTCCAATGTATATATATGGCTTAATTTTTTTTAACATAGTATGTGTGTAGATATATACTTAGCATAACATGCGTAATGTGAGTGTTTACTAGTTTATGAGGATATTGTAGTAATCCCGAATGAAAAGGAGTTTATGCTGGTGAGATGGTTGACTTGATGCTACTTTGGTATTTACTTAATATTTATTTCAAGAAATTACCAAAGTATATCTTTCGGTTTATTAGTAAAACTTGTAGAATGTGAACCATTAGGAGTCCTGCATTCCGCCAATTATAGAACTATTTATATATATAAATAAGGTATTTTATTTTTATATATATATATATATATATATATTTGCTTTCTTCCCATTTTATATTTATATATAAAAATAAGGCATATATAGTATGAAGAAGTTAGAGGGCTTCAAACGTCGACAAGTGGCTATCTCTTTTGGCGACACATGGCCTTTTTTTCTTGCAACTACTAAAAGCCCCTTCACTCTAAGCCACTTTTCAAGGATAAACTTGTAACTTAAAAGTTTTTTTTGGTGCTCTTATGCAAACGACATAGTTTTGTAGGGTGTAAAATTGCTGCTTTAGGAGTTGATTCAAATTGACTGAAATAACCTCATTTGATACAGCTTTTTGAGACTATTATTGTCATTTACGTATGACAACCTTCTTCCTTTTGCTGGAATCCTTCGGGTCAGAGGTAGACATATTTTTTTTCTTGCTTTTAACACGATTCTCGCACACGCAAGTCAGGAGATTGAGACGGGAGCAGGTAAACACTTCCCCATCTTCACAAACCCCACCCAAACAATTACTCTGATTTCCAATTCACAAAGGAAATACCTACTCAGGAAAATAGATTGAGGATGGATGCACGAAGACAAGGGGCAGAATATCTGCTCCGGTGACCGAAGTGTGAAGAAACCGCACCGAGTATTTTCCCCTTTCTGTGAGGCTTTTATTGAACGATTTGTGATCTTTCTCCTGGATTTAGTTTCTAATTTTGCTCTCTGTTTCCTTTTTTTGCTTTATTTGAAAATATGGACTCTGAAATTTCTGCCTAACGTTGAGAAATCGGGTCGGGTCCTGGAAAAGCAAACATGGCAAACCACCTTTTTTTTTTCCGCGGGGGAAGTCACAGTCGCTAGCTGGCAAGTTTGGCGCATATGGCTCGCAGCACGACGGAACTCATCGCCGGCATTGGGAGTATCCTACCAGAGCGTCCTGTCCAGCAGCACGTCATCTGCTACCGAGTGCTTCGAGTCCTATGCCACTGACGGACCATCACACTTATTTGAACAAGAGATTTTGGGGGGAAATAGCAACAGGTAATATTTCCGGTTTCAGCTTTGTGCGCTTTATATTCTCTAGGTTTATATTACTAAACTCTCAGTTTTAGGTTGTCTGCAAGAACTCTCTGTTGGAGCAGTTGTTTAGAATTTCATGTGATCTTAATGTTGTTGCTAATTGAAAATATCAGGTACGAGGAGGAATAATGAAAGGTTTCAGGTCCCTTAAAGCTCCGCCATCAACCGGAGCCTCTTCTACTGGTATGGAGACTCCCTTCAAATTCTTCTTCGATATGAAATTTATTCTTTAAGGTCCAGTTTTTGGCTCTTTCTCAGATGATGATTAAATTTTATTTTTGTTTATTCTTTTACATTTGTCTCATATCTCTGAAATCCTAGATTGCCATATCTCGGCTCGACTTTCTGCGGTCGACTGATGCACCGACCCTTATCATACGGTCCGTCACTCTGTCTGATGAACCGATTGATGGGTACCGACTGAGGTAATCTACCATCTGTAGTTTAGCTTAAGAATCCTTTTCGAAAATTTGCTTTCTAAGTGATTTTTATATTTCTTGCTTGTTGGTGCAAAATGATAAAATGAGGGCCTGGCTGACAACTATATGGAACTGCAACCGGAGATAAACTAGAAAATGTGTGCGATCTTGATCGACTGGTTAGTTCAGGTCCATAGCAAATTCGAGCTCTTGCCAGAGACATTTTACCTCACTGACTTGGTCGAGTTCGAGCTGGACATAGGTAATTTGCTTTGGTGTGCAGTTGGTGAGGTGTTTATGTGTTATATTTTAATGCTATTTTTGTTTGTTGACGTTATTGATACTGTTGGAAGATGAATTTGATTTCTTATGCGGTTCTTGCTTGGCTCTGACTATTATGGACTTTAATGGAGGTTATTTAGGTTGAAGGTTTATTGTCAGCATTTAATGTACATGAACTTCTATGTACTTCCATTCGACGTAGGTGAGAGTGGGTTATAAGTAGCTTAAGTCGGATAATACCGTTTGAAAGCCCCAATGGTCTCATGCCTGGACACTTGGGAATGTAATTGTGTGATGTCTATAATTGATAAAAGGGAACAAATGAAAGGAAAAACGAAAAGAAAGAAAGAAAGAATGAATGAAAGAAAGGAAATGAAGAATAATGGTAAGGACATGTCTCGTGTGTTTGAGGCCTTTTTTTAGGCAATTAATTAAAGATGCAAGTCTTCCATTTAAGAGAGTTTTACTAGCTTTAAAAAGGCTATCTAAATGATTGAATACACTATGTGATAATTTCACCTATCTATATTGCAGTTTCTTGTGAAGAAAGGCCACGTTGCGACGCCTCACGTTGATTATTGTCTTCCTGGAATTACACGAGAAACTGTGAGATTCATAATATTACAATATATATATATATATATATATATATATATATATATATATGCATACATACATATGTTGCATCAGAGAATGTCTTCTATTTACTCACCAATTTGATATTACATCCTGTAAAAATATTCACATATCATGGTCTGAAATACTTCTAATTGTTTTACATGTACATATTCTGGTTATCATTTGCTCTCATATCCGAGGTGAATTATAATAAAACTTATTAAGGATATGTTAGTTTTTTATCATCCAAATTTGATGTGTGGCGTGTGCCCTCTGTAAATGTTTATCTCTTGCAATAATGCACACTATTCATTGTAAAGTTCAAGTATTTACATTAAAATTCTGATGCTTGTGTTTGCAGGTGATGGGACTTGTGGTCAAGGAAAATTTTCTTTTGGCCGAGCGGTGTATTAGTCTGTCAGAGTTCCACACAGCAGACAAGGTAGAATCCTTTTGTGTTCTCTGTAATGCATTTTATCTAGAGAGAAGCAAAATGAAGGTTCTCCGTATGTTTGTTGATAATGATATTTCTTAAGCCTCTTTTCATTATGTCAGTGCAGGTCTTCACGACAGGAACCACGGGAGAGCTCAGTCCAGTTAAGTATTTTGTATTACATCATGTTTATGTTTTTTAAGAAGCTTCAACTGCTTTAAAATTTGCCGAACCCCTAAAATTGTAGTTTTTGCTGCCACTTTAAATTTTGACGGCGTAAGTGTTGATGTTGGTATTATTCTGTTAATTGCACTATAAAATTTGATGGCTGCATAATTGGTGATGGTAAAGTGGGTCCCGTGACCAGACAATTGCAAATTGCTTATAAAGAACTCGCTGCAGGATCAGGGGTGCCAATACCCACCTATCAACAACCTTGATAGGATACTAAGGTGAAACTATTTTTTTTTTTTCATTTCTATTATTTTGTAATTTTCTACGTAATCAATATTTGCATGTGGATTCATACCTTGAATTTGAATTATCAATCTTTTCAATTTGAGCATGAATGTATAGTTTTGAGTTTCAACATTTATTATATTCAGAAATCTCTTGAAGAAACTAAGAAAGTTGGTTCCTGTTGTAAAACATATGGTTATTTGAGATGTTATTTCAAGTATATACTCATCTAACTGATTTCACCAATTGCTGAAGACTAAAGAAAATTGATCCTAAAATGATTAGAGAAACAAGAACTTGTATTAAATTAATTGTTGTATAAACTAAGTTATGGCAAATGTACAATATGTTTTCTGAGAATTGGGAATCTACCTGCGTATTCATGTCGTTTGTGGACTAAATTATGAATGTCCTTCATGTTGTGGGATGTTGCTGCTAAGAATAATACCAGTTTTCTGGTTTGTGAGAACTGCTAATGTTGTAGGTAAATTTGATAGATTTTGTCTTTTAATCTTTGTCAACTGAGATAGTATGCAATATCTTACTTATCTTTTCACCAGGAACGTAAAGTAACAGAGATTGTCTTTCTATCGAAATACTAATTCTGGCCGCGACGAAAATATGAGCTTCAGTAACATTATGTTTGGTTATTGATGTTCTGCGGGTTCTTGTGTTATTTTAACACCTTGTTTGCGCTAATTATGCACTTTGCTTTGTTTTGCTTTGCTTTACCTTCCGTTCCCACAAGCATAATGAGGTCACTCCAACTTTGCACCGAAAACCTTCAATTGGTGTACGTTGTGAAGGTTTNTTGAAAGATCCCAGCTATCGATTGCAATTGTTTGATTAAAGAGTGAGGTTCGACACATAATCTTGTAAGTTCATTTAGGACATGTATGTAAGTTATTCCAGCATATCCCATGCGTACGTCACGAATATGATTCATCTGATAATTTGTAAGATTTGTGTTATCGCAAGGGTTTTCTGTTGAGTGATTACGTAGAACAAATTTATTTCGTCAATACACAAATTGACCTTGGTTTCGTTGCATGATATATTTTATTCTTAGTACTTACTTTAACTTTCAATTAGTTTCTAATTTCTATATATTTTTTCCAACATACTAATTGACTAATTTTAAAGATTTATAGCACACAAAAGTTTCACTTAATTGTTGGCTAAACTTGGGCCGGCTGTGCGTGCACAGCCGCAACCCAACTAGTTTTAATATATAAAAATGGAATTCTAACCTGAAGTTTTCATGAACCCAAGTTTCTCTCCTTTTTTCATTTTGTAATGCCTTTGAAATCCATTACATCACATATTCTTAGTGCTAGCACCCTAAGTTCTTCGTGGGGGTGGGTACTAGCAACTAGCACAACTTATGTTATTGGTAAATATACAGTTGCCAACCTTGTAAGCATCCAAGTGGTTGATTTTAATCATCAATGGTTAATGATGTTTGAGTTCTAAAGTATTAATTTGGAGATTTATGGTTATTGATTGTAAGGGTTCTGTTTATTTTGTAATTGTTTTACCTTTATGTATCGTTCTAAAATTTGCTGTAATGGAACTGTGTTTGCAGTGTTTATTGGCCTACTACCTGAGGATGTCGATACATGGAAACGAATCGTTGAACGATGTCCAACTTGAAAAATTTTACGAGAAGATGAGTTTGTATATTATGTTAATAAGAAGAAACTTACTGAAGACAAAAAGCCACACGAGTATGAGGTAGAATGACCTCCAATCTGAAGGAACATCAGAAGACCAAGGTAATGTATGGTACGGGTGTGTTAATACGTAAAAGAGGATTCATATTGACGTGTGCAAGCGTCGTATGTGAACTTGAAGCCATTTATGTTCGTACATATGTTGGAGAGGTGTACTACAGTGTTGAGTGTGTCCATATGGATGAAAAATTGGAATTGGACTTGGCCCTATTGAAGATTAAAGACAAATTTTATACAAACATTATATGACCAGGGTTGTGTAAAACTTGCTGACGACGTGAGATTAGAGATGCAAATTGTGCATCCATAACTCATACAACATGCCATTCTCGTTCGCTGTGGGGCAAGTTTCATACACATGCAATGATTGGCGTATCGACGACGAGAAGCATTGTATCAATCGTACCACAAAGTGTCGCTTTTTTCATGATATTTTATTCGCTTGTCCTGAAGCTGAAGATGATATGGCAATTCATGGCAGGTGACAGAAGGATTATCGAAGGTAACAATTTTCATGGTCACATAGGGGTTTCTGGGGCACCGTTTCTTGATTCATCTGGCCGTGTACTTGGTCTATATTCCTTTTATGAGCACAAGGACTTTGGAGTTCACGTGATTCACATAAAACAATTTATCACCTAAAACAATTCAGAGCGTGCATAAACAAACAAAAACTGAAGTGTGATGAGAGCCAGAGAAAGAGAAAGCGTAAAAGAGTAAGAAGAACAAAGAGGGTAATGTAGAAATGTAAAAGAAGATGCTAGAAGATACAAGGTATGCATACGTCAACTTTGGACACCTTCTTTCAACATCTGCCACTTATTATCTTTTAGGTCATCCCATAATAATTTATTATTTATTCCCTTATCTGAACATTGTTAATGTTTTTGTATCTTTTTTTACTGCAATAAAACATAACATTGACATTGTCATTTATCTTTTTTTTTTTTTCTTCTTTCCATTGCTAACTAGGATTGAGAACTTCAGGTAGTTGTCTCCAAAGGATTATGTTTTATTTCATTAAAAAAAATACGTAAACATTAACAATATTCAGATAAGGGAATAAATATTTAATTATTATAAGATGACCTAAAAGATAACAAGTGGTAGACGTTGAAAAGAGGTGTCCAAAGTTGGGGTATGCATACCTTGTACCTGCTAGCAACTTCTTTTACATTTTTAAATACCCTCTTTGTTCTTCCTACTCTTTCTCTTTCTCTGGGCAGCATCATGCTTGTGTTTTTGTTTGCTTAATGTACGCTCAGAGCGCCATTGTGTCATAAATTGTTTTATGTGAATCACGTGAACTGCAAAGTCCTTGTGCTCATAAAAGAAATATAGATTAAGTACACGACCAGATGAATCAAGAAACGGTGCCCCATAAGCCCTTATATGACAATGAAAATTGTTAACTTCGATAATCCGTGTGTCATGTGCCATATCATCTTCAGCTTCCGGACAAGTGAATAAAATATCACGAAAAAAGCGACACTTTATGGTACAATTGATACAATGGTTCTCGTCGTCAATACGCCAATCATTGCATGAGTATGAAATTTGCCCCACAACGAACGAGAAGGGCATGTTGTATGATCTATGGATGCACAATATTTGCATCCCTAATCTCACGTTGTCGTCTGCAGCAAGTTTTACACAACGCTGGTCATAATGTTTGTGATAAGATTTGTCTTTAATCTTCAATGGGGCCAAGTCCAATTTTTCATCCACATGGACACACTCAACACTGTGGAACACCTCTCCATCATATGTACGAATAGAAATGGATTCGAGTTCACATACGACGATTGTATACGTTAATATGAATCCTCTTTTACGGATAAACACACCCGTACCATACATTACCTTTGTCTTCTCACGAGGTATTCCTTCGGATTCATCTGTGGGTCCTTCTACCTCATACTCATGTGACTTTTTGTCTTAACTAAAATATAGTTTCCTCTTATTAACACAATATACAACTCATCTTCTCTAAAATTGATTCATTTCCAAGTATCGACATTCTCAAGTTGTAGGCTAGTAAACACTGCAAACACAGACAGCAAATTTTAGAACGATACATAAAGGTAAAACTTTTTAAATCACTTAGAAATTACATGTTTCTCCATGGCCTTATAAAACCTGTAAACCATGACTCTTATTCCATACAATGATTATCCTCAGTTCACAAGTTTTACTTTTGGAACTCCATATGTTCTCTTGTCCAAGAGCTATGTGTATATATTCATGTTCTTCTAGACACCCCATTAGAATGGCATTATCTATATTCAGTTTATGGAGTGGCCAATAGGGATTAGTTATAATGTGAACATAGCCAACATAATATTATTATGTTGGGAAATATGAGTGAGTGTTTTACATTTTTGAAAGTCATCATCAGTTTAGCGAGTTCATGCATCACCAATATTTTCACTGTCATAATTCATTGTTACCCCCATAATAATTGTTTTCGTAATTTAATCACGCTCCGAGTTCCTTTTTTTTTTTTTTCCTCCTTT